AGGGGGGGAAACAAAGAAAATAACATAAGAACAGCCATACTGGGTCAGATAAAAGGTCTACCTAGCCCAGTATCCTGTCTGCCGACAGTGGCCAATACCAGATTCCCCAGAGGGAATGAACAGAACAGGGAATCAATCTTCAAGCCATCCCTCTCCCGTCACTTACTCCCAGCCTCTGACAGAGGCTAGGGACACCATTTCTGCTCATCCTGGCTAATAGCCATTGATGGACCTAACCTCCAAGGATTTATCTAGTTCTTTCTCGAACCCTGTTAAGGTCCTGGTCTTCACAACTTCCACTGGCAAGGAGTTCCACAGTCCAATCATGTGCTGTGTGAAGAAAAACTTCCTTTTGTTTGTTTTAAACCTACTACCTCTTAATTTCATTTGGTGACCCCCTAGTTCTTATGTTATGGGGACAAGTAAATAACTTTCCCTTATTCACTTTTTCCACACCAGTCATGATTTTGCAGACCTCTGTCATATCCCCCCTTAGTCTCCTCTTTTCTAAGATGAAAAGTCCCAGTCTTTTTAACCTCTCTTCATATAGGACCCATTCCAAAAAATTGTTGTTGTCCTTTTCTGAACCTTTTCCAATGCCAATATATTTTTTTGAGATGAGGCGAACACATCTGTATGCAGTATTCAATATGTGGGGGTACTATGGTTTTATATAGAGGCAATAGGATCCCCTTATTTAATGATTCCTATCATTCTGTTTACTTTTTTGACTGCTTCTGCACACTAAGTGGATATTTTCAGAGAACTATCCACAAACGACTCCAAGATCTCTCTCTTGAGTAGTTATAGCTAAATTAGTCCCCATCATATTGTATGTGTAGTTGGGATTATTTTTTCCAATGTGCATTACTTTACATTTATCAGCATTAAATTGTATTTGCCATTTTGTTACCCAGTCACTTAGGGTGTGTCTAGACTACTGAGTTTTGTCGACAACAGTGGACTTTTGTCGACAAAACTATACCAGCGTCTACACTACGGCTGAATTCTGTCGACATAACGTCGACAGAACTCAGCAGTTTTGGCGACGCTGGTAAACCTCATTTTACGAGGATAACATCTTCTGTCGACAGAGTTCTGTCGACAGAAGGTGTTACTGCCTGTAGGGTTGCGTCTAGACTACAGGGTTTTGTCGACAAAGCAGCTTGCTTTGTCGACAGAACTCAATGTGTCTAGACGCTCTATGTCGACAGAAGTTTTGTCGACAGTATCTGTCAACAAAACTTCTGTCGACAAAACCCTGTATTCTAGACGTACCCTTAGTTTGTGAAGCTCTTTACAGTCTGCTTTGGTCTGAACTTTCTTGAACCGTTTAGTATCAAGTGGGTGAAATCCTTCTCCCATTGAAATCATTGGAAATTTTGCAATATCTCCCATTGATAGGCCAGGATTTCATCCTTTTCCTTTTATTTTAAACAGTACTGAGCTTGTGGGTCCCACAGCCTCCTAAGGAGATCCCTGTATATCGGTATGTAACAATACAAAATGTTCATATTTTTCTCTTTAATTCTCCCTTTTTTATAGCTAAATGGGGGGGGAGGGGGGAAGCCTAATCAGACCATAAGCAGTAAGTAGTAGCTGAACTGCCTCAGACAGTTGTTTTTAAGTTAGATTAATTATTACTGGTGTAATATTTTATCTTTAGTTTGTACACTGGTGAGTTCAGTCTGATGATGATAAATCTAGGGTGATTTCAACAATGACAGTTCATCCTGAAAGACTGATTAGTGTTAGGAAGTTTCGCTGCAATTTGTACATAGCACCTACTTTTTAAAAAAAAGTCGTATGACCTACTTAACGTATTTTCTATAGACTATTTCTCTACACAAACATGGAAGGAATAAAAGTGAATATATATTGTAAAGGAATACTGTGAATTTAAAAAAAATACAAATCACGTTTCTGTTGGAAATTGATTGGCTGAATACTGGTACAATTATTACCTAACATTACTAAAACTGAAAGTGATTAGAAGAAAAAGTATTTTTCCTCTTTTCAAGTTTATTAACTTTGTGCCTTTGACAGTGCTTCAAGAGTAATTAATTTACAGCTGTCTCCTTTATGATACATTTTCCCTGTTGCCAGTGTTGGCTTTTCATATGGCAACAGGGGAGAGTAATGGAGTTTTAAAAAAATAGGAAAATATGATTTTCCAAGATACATTGCCCTGTGCATATAATAGGGGGCAGAGGTAAAGTCTGAAACTATTTCTAACACATACCACACACACACTCTATCCTGGAGTTCAAGTTAGAACTTTCTCTTTAAGACTGATACCGAATTTTAGCTACATAATTTTAACTTTTTTTTAAATGTAAATGTACATCCCTTCCCTTGTAGGAAGCTAGGTTGTCAGTGTAACGGAGACTGCATTTCAGTTGATTCATTGCAATTTAACCCATTTATGTCACCCTGAGCCCTTTAACTCCACAAATACAAAGAATGTTATAGCAACGCAGTCCTATCTATTTATTTCCACTGGTTCTGCGGCAAGATGGGGAAATGAAGGGGCTTGAGACTCATGGTCTAAAATAACTGTTAGCCCCAGGAACCAAAGTTTCGGAGCAGTGGTGGGCAACCTGCCACCCATCTGGGTTTTATGTGTGTCCCATAAGACATTTTATTTACCGTTGCCCATGCACGCCCATCTGGGTTTTATGTGTGGCCCATAAGACATTTTGTTTACCATTGCTCATGCACAGTGTTGCCAGATTCCCCTGGTTTCTATCCACATTGGTTTTTTCCTACCAATGCTACTAACTTGACACACACATAAAGCAAGGGCACGCAAAGTGAGATGCATGCTGATTGCACATGACATTGATTGTGAGAGCCGTGCGCTCCCTCTGCACCCAATCGAAGCGCTGCTGTGGTTCATTCGGCTCACCCTACACATTCCAGGTACACAAGTGAAGATAATGAAACCACTTTATCCCGGGAGACTGTCTTGGTTATGACAGTTTTGCAGCCCACTGAGAGGAAGGAGGTTGCCCATCTCTCACTAGCTTAGGTTGCCCATCGCTGGTTTGGAGGCTGAGTAGGGCCCAATGAGGGACTAAAGCTCTAGTGAATTTCTGTTGCCTGGCACTAGTGGTGCAGAACAATGTTAGAAAGAAATGGTAAGGGGATAAATTGCATTTACTGGTGCTTTTTTTTTACTTCCAAAATTTAGATGCCTATTCAGGAAAGCACTTTTAAATTTATTTTAGGTACTTCTATAGCCCCCATTACTGTAACTATCTGGGGGCCTCACAATTTTTTAATACAAGCCCTGGGGCAAAAGCAACACAAATGCGGGGGTGAGGGGACATGCAGGGTCACATTCCCCTCACCTCAATTTCTGCCAGGGCATTCTGTCCCTCCCTATGTGGCAGCTTCTAGAGATGGTGAGCTGCAAACTCTGGCCGCAGGGAAAGGCGGCAGGAGCAAACAGCTGCAAGCTGCAGGGAGGGATTGCTGAGGATAAGAGGGAGGGACGTTACTCACACTGCTGTAGGGGTGAACTTCAAATTGTGACACCCCCCTCAAGCAGCAAGTACCAGTCATCTGTCCCTGGGAGATAACAATACGTCTCTATCTCCATTTCACGTACTTCTCTATCTCCAGTTCACAAATAGGGAACAAGGAGAGACTATTTGACTCGGCCAAGGTCATGCAGGACAACTATAGCCAAGGAGGGAATTAAACCCAACTCATCTATATCCCAAATTTGTGCCCTACTCACTCCTCCATACTTGGACTTTTGTGAACCAAGATACTTTCCCAAATCCTGAGGATGAGGTCAGCAAGTGTCCTCCCAAGCAATATATGGTAAAACTGATGCAATAGGGCGTCACTGTACTAACACAGATGCGACCCACCTCCCTCTCATTGTTCCCTTCTACCTTCTTTCTCTTTGTAATTATTCTGTTTCTTGGTGAGGTGAACTCAGCTTCCTTATTGCTCTAGCTTCACTTCCTGGCGCTGTTTCAACTCTTCAAGGCAGGACTGGGTCTGGGAATGCACAAATGAGCTGGTTGTGTCTAAAGAAGGTGATGTTGGTAGGAAAAAAACTTAGCCATGAATTCTTCCTTCTCAGCTGGTGGAAGACTGTAGCTGCAGTAGGAAGCAATACTCTTTAGAAACCACTCTCTCTTGTAAGTGAAGAGAAAGTGAAACATTCAAGAGAGAGGGTTTCGTGTTACACATAGGCACCTGTTAACAATGGTTTGTGTTTGAAGATCTGGGTGACTCAAGAGACTGGCAAGGGAATACAAAGCCCCTTGCCTCTAAATCATCTCAGGTTTGTATTCAGTCCAGATCAGTAACAACTGAAACGTGTATCTGATGTTTGCTCTGTGGCCACCTACATGTTAAATGAGTTGGTCAACTCAGTACAGTTCCTACTGGGCTGGTGTCCATCTCATGACAACAGCCATCAAAAACTCACAACCTTGTTAGCCATCTCAACAGAGCTTAAAGACTAAATAGGCAGAGAGCCTGGACTACTTTATCATGCTACAGGTAACCTATCAAGTTCGGGGAGATACCTGGACTGCTTCTTTTGGAAAATCAGAGATCGCAGTCTTTGGGATTGGCAATCCACTCATTTTCTTTGTTGTATGCATTATGTGATTCAGTAGAAAGTCACCTCGAGCTATTCATCATAACTTTCCTTTTCCAAAAACTGAAAAGTCACAAATCTATATTTGTGCACTAATCACCTATCAGACTTCATTATTTAAACAAAATAATTTTAAAATTAGTCAAATAGAAAATAGCATTTTAAATCAGCAACTATAAATATATTTACACTTGCTGGTTTAAAAAGTTATTTTCCATTTGACTAATTTTAAAATACTTATAGGAAATCTCCTCATAAAAACAGATACATTTATTTTAAACTTGTAAGTAAATGTGCTTTGGGGGCAAGACTTCTATGATAAGTTTCAGCCCTGTGCACTTTATGCCAAGTTGTGTGTGTGTGTGTGTGTGTGATTTATGCCAAGTTGTGTGTGTATTACAAAAATGGATTTGTGATGGCAGTGCTAATAGGCTTTCTAAACAGAAAATTTCAATGGGATTTTGCCTGAGCATGGGCACACTATCCTGGCTTGATGCCATGAATTAGAACTACAATATGTTTGTTTGTTTGTTTTTTTATTGAACCACTTTTTAAACCTATCAAAGCAATTCTAGTGACACTGGCTGTTGACCACCTAGAATATACGTTCTGTCATTTTACATCTTTTTCTTAATTTCTGTGTTAAACTTAAATATTTAAAAAAAAACATTTTCCTGCTAAAGGTTTCTTATCTTTTAAAACATTTTGCCATCCGTTTTCTCCTCACAAAACACACCTGTACTTTTGAATTCCCATGTTTAAGCTTAGCTTTTCCTCACTGCACTCAGGCTGAGAATCCCATTCTCTTCTGGAAAGAGACTGTAAAAGTGGCCTGGCAGAGTTCCACCTGTATCATTCTCAGTGATTTCTACACTAAGCATGCTCAGTTTATACTGATAATGAAGGACTTACTATCAGCCTTTCAAGGTCAACCTGAGATCTGCCTGTCAAGCTGTCTTCTTTTTTTTTTCTTACCTCAGGAATCACCACTTAGGCTTGTCTGAGCAGCAGTGAAACAGCCCTGCAGCCTGAATCCCAGAAGTCCGTGTCAGCTGGCACAAACTAACCATGAGGGCTTGGGGTGCTGTTTGGTTTGGTTTTCTGTGCAGTCAGCCCCTGAGAGCCTGCATCTGCTGCACACAGGCTGTATCTTGGTCCCCAAGAAAGTGGGGTGGCACCACGTCTAAGTCATGTCAGCCAAGGGGCTGATGATGGTGAATGCCAAGCCTGGGGAAGGCACTATGCATTTAGATTTGTTGTTTTAAGTACACGCTGGGGTGTGACTAAATCATGCTGTGTTTCAGAGAAGCTGTTTCTGTGTTGCTGCATGCTGCTCCTGTCCACTGGCTCCTTTCAGGTGCCCTACCCATTGGGTCTTCAAGGTGTCAGGGGTGGCAGTTAGAGGACAGAGCCTTAACTAAGCATATTAGCACCCAAGGCGAGCAGCCACATTTGAACCCCCAAAAGGTGACATGTGGGGAGGCAGGTGGTATCACTTGGCCCCCACCTAGTTCTCTGCCTCCTATTTAGCACTGAGGTTTTCAAACTGTGAGATATGCTTCCCCGGGGGGGCGGGGAAGGAGATGTGCCCCACGGTTTGAAAACTGTTTCCTCCTGCCAGGAGCTGGCAGGTCATAAGCTGATGGGAGCTGCCTGGTCCACTTGGACCTCTGGCTCTCCCTGCTGTGGGAGGCAGGGTGCCTCCCTGTCTTATCCCCTGAGCCAGGCCCCCTCTGCACAGTTGGGTGCTCCCCAGGCTAAGTGGGGAGAACAGCCTGTAAAAGCAGCCGGAAATGAGGAATAGCCAGCACCTCTGCCAGTGGGCTCTGCCTGGAGTACCCGCCAGCTAGATTCAGTGAACACAA